GAGGTGTGTGGCGTTGCCGAGGCAGAATTGGATGATTGCTTGGCACGTCAATGTAAGTTTTGAGTGGCGAGATCCCCCCTTGCGCAATATGAACATGACCTCCTGGTTGTCCATCCGGACCAGAACGTGAGCACCCGCGATCTGGGTTGCGAATGTCCGCAGCACCCAGAGCACTCCCTCGAGCTCGCGCCGCGTGCTGGATGTAGTGAGAAGCTCGCTTGGCATGCATGCGCTGGCTTCACATGAAGTGCTTGGAAACTTTGTCAGGGTGGCACCCCAGCTGTGTGCGCTCGCTTCAACGTGGATAACGGCATCAAACCGGTGGCTCTGGTGGAATGGGGCCCCATTGAAGTGATCGAAGTGCTCCGTCCAGAAGAGCAACTCCTCCGTCGCGCCCAGTAACAACGGGACCTTCGAGTTCCATGACCACGCGGAGTTGATCAAGCACAGGAACTCGTGAATAAAGGCACGCGTAGTCGTGCCTAGCGCGAGCGACATGGAGCTGAGGAATCCAGTGATCCGAGCTATCTGGCGGATCGGCACTTGTCGGCCTGACTGGCTTTTTGTAATGAGCCGGTGGAGCTCACGCAGTAGTTGCTCACGCCGATCTTCCCCGACGAGAAACATCCCTCGTACAGTATCGAGCTCCATCCCCAAGAAGCGCAATTGGTGCGTAGGATGCAGGTTTGATTTCTTGGCGTTGATCACGAAGCCTGCCGCCTTCAAGTCTAGGAGGACTTCCGTGCACGTTGAACGTGTTTAGGTTTCGGAGTTGCAGAGGAAAAGTAAGTCGTCCACATATAGGATCACGCGAACTCCGCGCGCGCGCCATCTCTTAGCTAGTTGCTTAATTAGATGGGTGAAGACAGGCGGTGCTGTCGCCAGGCCGAAAGGCAGGGAGGTGAAGCACTAGAATTCTCCCTCATATTGAAAACCCAAGAACTTCCAGTGGGATGGGTGAATGTCAACATGGTGGTAGCCTGACTGCAAATCAATTGTAAATAGCCAGTCGTTTGGGCGGATAATTTCTGCAACCCAGGCTAAGCCTTCGTACTTAAACTTGGGCAAGTATGAGATGGCATTTGTCCCGTTGCGCCACTACATTGAGCGGGCTAATGCATGCCAATGTGGCCTTTGACAAGACTTTGAGTGCGGCACCCGAAGTGATAAGGTCGCGGACAGCACCTTGGATGAAGGTCATATGTGCTTGCACTCCTGCGTGATTGGGGGCCTTGAAAGGGATGGGCTCCTCGCCCTTCCATGGTAACCAATACCCTCTGGCAATGATGTAAAGGATGAAGCTGGTGTCGCACCAAGAGAGCCACCAGTGCAGGCTGTTGCGCAGTCGCCTTCGCATGACGGACACCATGTTGTCCGTTATTGCATGCGTGTATGGGTCCCAACTGACATCTTGCCACTCGCTGCCAGCTTCTGCAAGTGGCGGGCAACCAAGGTTGAATAGAGGGAAAACGACGAGGTGGATTAAACACGGATCCGGCGGGGCGATGTGTAGGGGAACTATGTCACCCTCCTTCCCCTCACCTCCTCCCCCTCTCTTTTTTTTTTTTTTTTTTTTTTTTTTTTTTTTAACACCTCTATTGGCCACAAGTCAGCCATAAAACCTCTGTCTATGTTGTGGCTTGAGTGTGTGTGCGGTATTGTTGTTGTTGTTGGTGTTTTTTTTTTTTTTTTGGATCGCCTCACAAAGAGCGCAACGCATGTGCCTCACTCGGTCCCGTGGCTTCTCCCGCCGTATTTCCTTTAACGGCTGGCCACTTCTCCCCCCCCCTCTCTCTCTCTCCCTCCCTCTCTCTCTCTCTCTCTCTCTCTCTCTCTCTTTCTCTCTCTCTCTCCCTCTCTCTCTCTCTCTACCCCCTCCTCTCTCTCTCTCTCCCCCTCTCTCTCTCTTTCTCTCTCTCTCTCTCTCTCTCTCCCTCTCTTGCTCTCTAGCTCTCTCTCTCTCTCTCTCTCTCTCTCTCTCTCTCTCTCTCTCTCTCCCTCTCTCTCTCTCTCGCTTTCTCTCTCCCTCTCTTTCTGTCTCTCTCTCTCTCTCCCTCTCTCTCTCTCTCTCTCTCTCTCTCTCTCTCTCTCTCTCTCTCTCTCTTTCTCTCTCTCCCTATCTCTCTCTCTCTCTCCCTCTCTCTCTCTCTCTTTCTCTCCCTCCCCCTCTCTCTCTCTTTCTCTCTCTCTCTCTCTCCCTCTCTCGCTCTCTAGCTCTCTCCCCCTCTCTCTCTCGCTTTCTCTCTCCCTCTCTTTCTGTCTCTCTCTCTCCCTCTCTCCCCCTCTCTCTCTCTCTCCCTCTCTCTCTCTCTCTCTCTCTCTCTCTCTCTCTCTCTCTCTCTCTCTCTCTCTCTTCCCCTCTCTCTCACTTGCTCTCCCTTTCTCTTTTTCTAACTTCTCCCTCTCCTTGCTTTCTTGTTTCCGCCCTTGCTTCAGCTCTCATATTTGGCCTCTCCTCCCTTCCTTATTGCCACCTCTAAAAGGAGGGGCTGGCTTTTTTATAGTTGGGACATTCATTGTTGCCCTCCCCCCCCCCCCCCCCCCCCCCCCCCCCCTTTTTTTTTTTTTTTTTTTTAAGAAACTCTTTTATTAATCAACTTCACACAACGCATAATAGCCTAGGCCTATTCCATATCCAGCCCCTACGGCTGCCTTATTCCATGGCCCCTGGCATATGCTACTTCTAAAGGCCTCCCATTAGCCTACACACCACCGGTGCATCCACCTACGCCCCCCGGCATAGTGGCAAGGAGCGCCGCCCCATAGCTCCCCCACACCACGGGTGCGGGGACTTGTGCGCCACGCCCTCCCATAGAGCAATTGTTTGCCACGTGGCCGGGCTGGCCTCAGCGAAAACAAACTCCCTTGAAACGGGGCTCGTGGCAGGCTGCGGGTGGCATGCCCTTGCTTTCCGGTTCGCCATCTCGAAGGGGAAGGCGGCCTCCGCGAGAGAAGCCGGTGTGCGCGCGCTTGAGGGCCGTCACGTCGGCTACCACGAGCTTGTAGGAGCGAGACGTGAGTACGCTCTTGGCTTGGTACAGCTGGAAGCGATCCGCCGCCTCGAAGTCGGCTTCGTCCGCCACCAATAACACCTCGAAGCGTTTGTTGATCAACGTTTCGACTTGCGCGACATTGGCGAGCGCGCCCTCGACGTTGCCGTGTTGGAGCTTGAACTCGACGTGCCTCATGTGAGATTGAATTGCAGAAAACACCTCCGCCTGATCACGCACTCCCTTGCGCATGAAGATAGTAGTTGCGGGTGTGGGGTTGAGGGGAGGGAGGGGGGTGGCGGGTGCGAGAATGCGACGGCGGGCAAGGTTGTCCGAGGCCTCACCGTCGTCATTTTCCGAGTCGTCGCTGTCGTCGGGGACACGGGCTTGGGTAGGTGCCGGAGCTGGGGCAGGAGCGGGAGCGGCGTTGTTGGCGCGAGCGACCTTGGTGGAGCGGGGGGACGCGACAGGTTCTTTTTGCTTTTCAATTTTAGCAGAAGTAGAAACGTCTTTGGTTAATGTAGGTGTAGTCGATGATGCATGCTGTTGCAATATCGAGAGTAATGTCTGCAGCTGCTGTGTAGTTAAAGGGGGGGGGGGGGGGGGGGGGGGGGGGGGGGGGGGTGTTGACCGGGGTGACGTCAACGGAGAATGCCGCGCGCTGGCGCTTCTGGGTCGTGGGCCCGGTTTGACCCGCGTCAGCGGCGGTCAAGACGGTTGCCGCGACAGCGGCGGCCGTCGTCTTCTGCGCAGCACGCGCATGCCTGTCAAGCACACGCTCTTCAGCAGCAGGCACGCGCGACCGTACAACAGTCGTGGGTTCCTCAAGGGGGGTCCGAAGGGTGCCTCCGAGCAGGAGGTCGACCGCCGAAGGTCCCTCGCCAAGAATTTCTTTGGCCGAGCGTTTTCCGCGACGATCCGTTGTCCCGGCCAGAGTTGCGGTTTTCGCCGCGTTAATGGGGCTTTAAATGTTCGAGTTGTCGCGGTTAAGTGCCGGGTTGACCAGAGCCATCGTCGCGAGGTTGCGCTTCAGGATGTCGTTAAGGAGTGTCGACGGGGCAGTGAAGCGCGGAAGCGACTGAGTCTTCGCCAGTGTGGACGAGAACGAAATTGAAACTACAACTAGAAATGAAAAACGTGGGTGAGGGCGAATGACCTCACGACCCTCTTTTCTTGGCAAAAGAGGGTGAGTAGCGCTTCGGCGCCACCTTTGCTGTGTTGGCCGCGTACCCCCTTTCACAATACAAAATTTGAGAAAGTGTTACACTTTCAAAATTTATTATTTTCTGTTCGCCGAAGATTTCGAAGGTGGCAGTGCGAAGGATTTTGTCGAAAGACTACGCAAGAATCAGAAACAGGAAAGAGGGGTTTTCACTAGTAGGCAGTTGAGTATATATAGCAAACCCTGATTCGGGTTGTACTCGCTATAGAGTACCCCACTGCATGCTAGACAAACATCACATTCTGACAGATTTCTCATTCGCTCTCATATCATGCTGCGATCGATAAGTGATCGTCCCTAGGATCACCTCAAGAAGGCTCGCACTCGTCTGAGTAGTGGTGGTGGGCCCTTGACCTCAATAGCAGAGTGAATGTAAAATGCTTGAGCTGATTTAAAGCCAGCAGCTAAAATAGTGACCCCCCCCCCCCCCCCCCCCTTCTAGTGGGTCCACTTGAAAACTCTAACTAACTTTGTAAAGTTTCTGACGGCCGAAGTGTTTGTTTTTCAGACGCGTTCAAGTCTTCACACATTTTTTTACAAAAAACGTCGCAAGTATGTGTCGCAAGTTGGCGACGTGCAAATTCCAATCACACGAGGGGGCCAATTTCAACCAGTGTTGCATGTTCAATCCACACACAACAAACGCCTTAGACATGTGCCTGCTGGGGCGGCAAAAACAGCATAGGAAAAGCAGAACTGCGGGAAAAAACAGAGAGCTTCCGGTTAGAGATAAAAAGGAATAGGTAGAAGGAAACGAGAGCGCACGGAGAGCGCTGATTGAGCGAAAATTACGGAATGGTAGGGTGTTGGGAGATGGGAGGGGAGAAACGAAGGGCGACTTGCAGGCATTTCGGGGCGAACGCGAAAGCGCCGAGGTGGGTGATGGGAGGGGAGAGAGGAAAGGCGACGACTGCATCGAGGGCAACGTGAGAGGAGGGGAGAGAGGATAGGAAACGGGAGAGAGCAAGGGCAACTTGGAGAGAGAACGGGCAACGGGAGAGAGAAAGGGCAACGGGAGAGAGAAAGGGCAACGGAGAGAGAAAGGGCGACGGGCGAGAGAAAGGGCGACGGAGAGAGAGCAAGGGCGACGGAGAGAAAGCAAGGGCGACAGAGAGAGAGCAAGGGCGACGGAGAGAGAGCAAGGGCGACGGAGAGAGAGCAAGGGTGACGGAGAGAGAGGAAGGGCGAGGGGAGGGAGTTTCGGGGCGTTGGCGAGGGCGACGAGGGGAGCGACGGGATGGGAGAGAGGAAGGGCGACGGGAGGGAGTTTTGGGGCGTTGGCGAGGGCAACGAGGGGAGCGACGGGATGGGAGAGAGGATGCGCGACGGGAGGGAGTTTCGGGGCGTTGGCGAGGGCGACGAGGGGAGCGACGAGATGGGAGAGAGGATGCGCGACGGGAGGGAGTTTCGGGGCGTTGGCGAGGGCGACGAGGGGAACGACGGGATGGGAGAGAGGATGCGCTAGGGGTTGGGCGACGGGATGGATGAACGGGAGGGGCGACGGTATGGGCCATGGAAGGGCGACGACGACGGAACGGAACGGGAGGACGATGGGACGGCAGAATGGGCGGGTGACTGGACGGCCGAATAGGAGGGCTATGGGGAAGGAGAAGTGATCGCGTGGGTAAGGGAGGCGAGAGGAGATCACGTGAGCGACGGGACGGACATTCTGACTAATACATGTCGAGATAACGAGGGCAACAGTCCAGACATAGCCCATGCCCAACCTAGCTACTTACCGTATAACTAGCGACGCAAAAATGGTAGTAGTTCACCCTATCCCAACTTAAAACATGAGTTGGGCCCAAATCGCTTGGATAGACTGAAACGATCGCCTATGCAATTGTCGTGCGAAATGAGAAACGAGAAATGCGACGCCACACATCCCCAGAATGTTTTTTTTTTTTTGCGGGAACCAATCAAAGGTGCTGGATTTGCACGTCCGCAGCGTTTGAAACGGTACTAACTTGTCAGTCCGGTCCAAAATTTGTTTAGCCCGGCAAACTCGTCCATGCATGTTGAACAAGAATGAATGAACTAAGAGTGAAATGAGTACAAGTATCAAAACCTAGGAATGTGTACCCCCTATAGGCTAACCCACTGTAGCCTAAACAACTACAACAACATATATGATGTTTGACACACCCCCATAGGCAAAGTGGGGGAGAACTAGGGGTCACAAGACCAGTCAAGTAAAGCAAAACAAAGCAAGCTCAGGGTGGATCACAACGTCACCACACAATCCGAGCACAAGTGCAAGGCCACAAGGCCAGTTCACATGCAGGAGTACAGATATATATATATAAGACTAAACAAGCAAGAGCAGTGATATATATATATGTAACAGTACAAAGAGGGTCAAGAGGAGAGCAAGTGAGGCAAGACAGACACAAGACCCAGCTGGGTACAGCAGCGCTGATGATCACAAGGCGGAAGTGCCTTGGTGAAGACATCAGCAGTCAAGGCGAGAGACCAAGAACCTGCTGAAGGAGCGGAACGAAGTACGGCTGAGGGCGCGCGGCGACTCCAGACACAGCAGGGACAGCACCTGTACCCCCAGCGGCAGTACCAGAACCAGCAGCAGCTCCAACGCCCAGGTCCTCAGTACTAGCCTCAGCACCAACGCCCGAGTCCTCAGCACCAGCAGTGGCTCCAACACCAGGGTCCACAGCACCTGCGGCAGCTCCAACGCCCGGGTCCTCAGCACCAGCAGGGACTCCGACACCAGGGTCCACAGCACCAGTCGCAGCTCCAACGCCAGGGTCCGCAGCACCAGCCGCAGCCCCAACGCCCGGGTCCTCAACACCAGCAGCACCTCCAACCCTCGGGTCCGCAGCACCAGCAGCAGCTCCAACGCCAGGGTCCGCAGCACCAGCAGCAGCTCCAACGCCCGGGTCCGTAGCACCAGGGGCAGCCGGGTCCGTGAGACGAGGCGCACCACTCCGAAGTGTGCAACGGCGCTCGTACCACTCACGGATCCGCTCACGAGAGGGGAGCTTCCGAGTAGGAGGAGAAGTACCAGCCCCAGTCCCTGTAGTGCGCCTGGTCCCAGAGGTAACACTCCGGAGGCTGCAGTACTGTAAGTACCACTCACGCAACTGCTCCGAGGAGAGGTCGCGTCCAGGTGTAGCACCCTCAGGCCCAGCACCGCAAGGCTCAGCACCCCCAGTCACCGCACCCCCTGGCTCAGCACCCCCAGGCTCAGTACCCCCAGTGTCCGCACCCCCAGGCTCAGCAACCCCAGAGTCCGCACCCCAAGGCTCAGCACCCCCAGAGTCAGCACCCCCAGGCTCAGCACCCCCAGTCTCCGCACCCCCAGGCTCAGCACCCCCAGGAGGACGAGAGTCGACAGCAACCTCAACAGGCTCGACCGGGTCTACCTGAGACACACCTGAGGGAGCGGCACCCTGAGGGGGGAGGGGGTCTACGACAGCAGCACCTGGCGCGAGGAAGAGAGGCGGGGGTGGGAGCGGGGCAGTGCGGTAGGGAAAGAGGCGGTAGTAGGGGACAGACTCGTCAAAAGTGACGTCCTGAGAGGGCAAGACCCGGCGCGAGGTGGCGTGGTAAAACTGCCAACCAGGCGCGTCCGGAACAAAGCCGAGGAAGACGCAGGGAACAGCACGAGAGGAGAGCTTGTCCGCAGACGAATCGCGGACAAAAGCTCGAGATCCCCAGACCCGGAAACGTGACGCATCGCCAACCTCCCCCGTCCACAGCAGTGTGGGCGAGGTCTCCGGCAAGGAGACACGGGGCCAGAGGTTGAGCTGATGCGCAGCGTACCGGACCGCAAACGGCCACAGAAAGTGGGGGGCAGCCGCATGGATCAAGGAGGTACGAGCGACCTCCATGACCAGGCCAATGCGGCGCTCCGCAACCCCATTCTGCTGTGGAGAGGCCGGAAGCGTGAACGACTGCTCAATGCCGTGCTCAGCACAGTAGGCTGCCAAGAGGTCGGAGGAGAACTCACCACCTCTGTCAGAGTGCAAGCGCAGGACAGGAAAGTCCGAGCGGAAACGCTCGCTGATCTGGAGACGAGCTCTGCGGATCCAAGGGATCAAAACATCAGGGACCTCACCCTTGGCTCGCAAGGGGAAGACCGTCGTGTAGCGCGAGTAGTCGTCAACAACGATCAGGAAGTACCTCTCCTGACCCTGACCACGGACGCGGGCTGGGCCCCACACGTCCATGTGGAGCGTCTAAAAAGGAGCAGTCGTCGGGGGAAACGAGGAGGAGTGAGGAGCGGCGCGCTGCCGCCCCTCGACACAGGGAAGACAAGGAGGAGCAGGCGAGGGTGGGAGGGGAGGGAGGACCCTGGGAAGACCAGAGACAAGGTACCGGGAGTGCATGGCACGAAGGCGCTGCACAGACGGGTGGCCCAGTCGGTGGTGCCAGAGGACAGTCTCGTGCGCTAGAGAGCGACACGAGCAGGGGGCGGACAGCTGACCTGACGAGGACGCAGACGCAGACGCAGCGACCTGAGGGGGGGCAGTAGTCAATGTGTACAGATCCGACCCCGGCTGCCGGGTGAAGGTAGCCAAGTGGCGGCCTGTACGGGCACACGTGCAGTGTGTGACACGCTCGTAGGCAGGGGTGAACTGGTGAACACCCGCGTCCTGTAGTGCACAACCTGCCACCAAGTTCGTAGAGAACGAGGGGAGGTGGAGACCTGACAGTGTGCCCGACGGGACCGCAGGACAGGGAAGGACAGTGGAGGAGGTCGCAAGGACCGGACCCCCAGAGGGGTCAGCGAGGGAGACAGCAACGGGCCGAGCAAGGGGCTCAAGGGCAGTGCGGTCACGAAAGAAACAGCGAGAGGCACCTGAATCCAGTGTGAAGGTGTGCAGTGCTGCAGTCGACACAGTACTAGGGGGGGCAGACGTACACGCACCAAGAGCAGCAGCCTCACCAGCACCTGGGGTAGCGGACACGCGAGTACCTGGAGCGGCAGACGCACTAGTCCTAATGTCCGGGTCAGGCGGGACACTCAGGTACTCAGCACCCTCTCCACTAGTAGACATCACATACATGGCAGTGAGAATAGCATCAAAGTCTAGAGCATAAATATCAATCCCCTTCTTCAGGAGATCAACCCAGCGGGGCAGCTCAGTGGCCTGAGGGAACTGAACACGCCAAGCGTCGTTCAGACGAGCGAAGCAACGCTGTGTGGCGTGTGGTCCCCCACACGGCTGGCCAGTGCGGTCACCAGTGCGAATGACGTACGTGCAGCTAAGGCCACCCCCCCACCCCCCGTGCTGAGAGTACCACTCACGGACCTCCTGGGGCGACGGAGTGTGCTGCTGGCCCTGGCCACCGCCAGCGCCTCCACGACCACCACCGCCGCTACCACCTCCTCGACCACCCCAACCCCGGCCGCTGCCTCGTCCACCGCCACCCCCACCACCTCCTCCGCCCCGGCCACCTCCCCCGCCGCTGCCGCCACCCCCCCCACTGCTGCCACCTCCCCCACCCGCGCCACCCCCCCCGCCACCACCACCTCCCCCACCACCGCCACCCCCGCTGTCACCACCACCGCCCTTGCCCCCCTTGCCCTTGCCGCTGCGGCGCCCACTCGAAGCAGACGCAGTCCCGACCTTCTCAGCACCAAGGAGGTCGACAGCAGCAGCAGAGGCGACAGAGGGAAGAAGGGGGGAGGGAGAACACCCCTCAAAGAACGGGGTACGGGGGTCACCGCGAGAGGCACCTACAGCGGCTATGCTAGCCTCAGCTGCAAGCAGTTCCTTCTCGAGGAGGGCAATGGTGAGCTCGGTGGGGCAGCGAGCTAGGAAGTGGTCCCTGACTGAGCGCAGAGTGTCAGGTAGGCGCGTGACTAGGTGGTAGAGAGTGAGCCAGAGCGGGGGTGGGTTCTTGGCAAGGAACTCATCAGGCATAGCGGCGCGGAAGCGAGCCTCACTAGTGCGGAGGTGGGTAATGAGATCAGCGACAGTGTGGAAGGAAGCTAGGTCGGGGAACAGGTAGGGAAGAGAGAGACGGCCTAGAGCGGCAGAGGCCGGCGAGGAGTAGCGGGCAACGACAGCAATGTACAGTGCCTGTGCAGTCTTGTGCTGCCCAAAGTGCTCGCGCTTATCTATCGGCAGAGAGTTGCGAATAGCGAAGCGAGTATGGGCGTCACGAGTCTGCCACTGTGAGCGGGCAGTGCTGTCAGCAGTAGCAGCAGGAGCAGTAGCGTGGCCTAAGGCATGATCGTATAGCGAGATGTCTTCGTTGGCAGTGAGCTGTAGGAAGAGGTGTAGGTCATCAAGCCAGGTGTCGAACTTCACTGGGCGGCCCTCAGTATCGAAGGCTTGGACAGGAGGGCTAGCCATGGTAGCAGCAGTAGGAAAAACACTAGGAGCAGTAGGGTAGGTAGGGCGGCGCGGCTCGGTATAGGTAGGGCGGCGCGGTTCGGGTCGGGCGGCGCGGCTCGGTTCGGGCGGCTCGGGTCGGGCGGCGCGGCTCGGTTCGGGCGGCGCGGCTCGGTTCGGGCGGCTCGGGTCGGTTAGGGCTGGCGGCTCGGGTCGGGCGGCTCGGTTCCGTTAGGGCTGGGCGGCTCGGGTCGGCTCGGTTTGGGCTGCTCGGTCTGGGTGGGGCCGTTCGGGGCCAGAGCGCGGGGCCGACGTGGGTGCTAAGGGCGAGCGCGGGGCCGACGTGGGTGCTAAGGGGGAGCGCGGGGCCTATCGGGGCCGTGAGGGACGAGCGCGGGGCCGATCGGGGCCGGTAAGG